TCCCTACAACACCCAACTTCCTTCATTTGCACACGCATTCCTAACCACATACTTCCAACCCGCAAGAATCACACCATCCACTCTTCACATACACCCAAATTCGAAATTGAGGGTTTATGGCTTCCGATCACCATCCTGTAAGCCCCAAAACAATAAAATCTTTACTCAAACCCATTAAATACATTCCATGAAATCTTACAAGCGAAAACCTTACCCGGTTGGTTGAAGAACTTATGCATTTCCCTCTTGAATTCCAAGATTGAGTAAGAATCGAAGAGTAATAGACTTGGAACTTCTCCCCCCTCTCTAAAATTCTCTCATCTCTTCAAAATGGTCTAATTTTCTTTCTTAAATAAGACCTTAAGACTTTTAATTAAAATAGAGCCGTGTTAGACAATTTCCAAAAAGGACCCTTCGAGTCAAATCCGCAATGGATCTGCAGTCAGTGAAACAACGCACAAAATGGTCTTCAAAAATTTGGGTTGGGTCTGGTCAGATCCACGATGGATCCATGGTCAGCGGAACAGATTTGCGGTCGCATAATGGACCACAATCTGTCCCTAAAAATTGAGTTGCTTCTGATTCATTTCGCGACGATTCCACGGTCAAGGAGCATATCCACGATCGCATAATGGGCCATATAATTGCCATTCTCCGTAAATTTTTCTACAAACTTCACGATGCATTGCTCAGTCCAAAAATTCATACAGTGGCACATTAGCTTACATTGACACCATAAAAACTTAAATCTTTAATGAACTTTTACGGGGTCTTACATCCTCCCTCGCTTAGAATTATTCATCTTTGAATGAGGGTTAGAGTCTACCATAGACACCCAATATGACTTAACTCTTCATTCATACACCAAAAGTTCAAAATTGGTTAACTCCCAAATTTCCAAAAATTGTGGTAGAGTTCTCCATGTATTTGGGCCTATCCACCCGTTAGAGGATCCTAGGAACCAGTCCTAATAACATATTCATAATATAACAACACATCATAACATGACAACATCACAAATATAGAATTATAATAATTGTATTACCCCAAGGGGCACCTTTGCATAGACTATACAAGTTTGAACATTACTTGAAGAAAGTAAACTTCTAACATTCTTTTAAGCACAACCATTCCATGATGATCTTGGCCTTTGCATAGCTTAGTTAACGAGTTTTGGCCCTATCAACTCTGCTACACCTACTTTGGACCATCCAATAGGGGATCTACATCTTCTGTCATACGAGGCACCGCTCAGTGCGACAACAACCCAATACACGAAAAGAGTTTCAACTATGACCTTCATTGGCCCAATACTCCTCCAAAATACATCACTATAGCCACTCCTTGACCCAATCGCGATTTGACATACTAAAGTACATCATTATGATCATTATATAGCTTCCCTTGCCCTTCCTAAACATCTACTTTGAAGAGATAATACAAAATATGATCTTCAAATTTCTAATATACCCTTGAGCCTCAGGTAACATTCATGGAACATCTTGATCATGTCTCCCAAGGCTTGGAAGATGAAAATGATATTTTGAACATAACTAAAAGCAACTTGAGTTTCCTTTCATGTGAAAGCTTATGTACATACACCTATTGAGTGACTAAGGTCATACAACTTAACACAAATCTTTCTTATATATATATACACACACACACACACGTCCTACCTAGTTTACTTAAATCAAAACCTTAGGTTAACACTTGTAACTTGCCCCTCCCAATTTCCAATGCCGCCTCACCTCGTCATTCTCATACGAGTTAGATTTACCGGGCTTGGAGGTTCAAATATGTAGAAAGTATTATCCCATGTCAAACATATAGGGCATGAAACTTTATGGTCATACTCATTCAAACACATCATAGAATAAAGTGGAAGGGGTTGACACTCTTCTATGCCATGCCTTTCCATCGCCACCTCCACTGTAGGATCCACGAAAATTGTCGGTGGACTAGGCCTTCTTGTTGTTGTCTTGCTCCTTCCCGCTTTTTAACTTTAGATCCTCCATGGCTTGAGCGAACGCCACCGTCTTCCCATAATTTATATCAAAGTTCAAGGCACATGTAGCGGCCTCATTGATGACCAAAGGACTAAGGCCTTGCACAAACTGGTGCACCCGAGCCTCTATAGTGGGTAACATATAGAGAGCATACTTGGAAAGATACGAAAATTTCAAATGGTAGTCCCACACACTCATACTACCTTGCTTCAAGTTCTCAAACTCAGTAGCACGGGCTGCCCTAGTCTCGCCTGGCAAGAAATGATCCATGAAAGCATCCACAAACTCGTTCCACTTTGCCGAAGGATTACCCTCCTCACGGGACTCATCCCACAACTAAAACCATGAATATGACACCTCCTTCAGGCGATAGGAGGCCAATTCCATTTCTTCTTTCTTAGTGGCACATATCACACGAAAAGTTTTATGCATCTCATTATAAATTCATATGGGTCCTCCTCGGGCTTAGTACCCGTGAATTCTGGAGGATCCAACTGAAGGAATCAGCTCACCTTGGAACTAGCTAAATCTACTTGGTAGATAGAATAAGTAGATGTAACATTCAATCTCTAGGCCCGGGAAGCCACTATTTGAGTCAGCAATTTGATGGCTTCCCTAAGGTTTCCGTAAGAAGCACTAGGACCGGAGGTGGAATTGGAACATAAGTTTGAGGAGGAATCTATACATTCTCAGCATGAATAGTAGAAATAGGGGGTATTGTAGTTGGAGGAATGTCTTCACCCCTCATATGCTCACCCACAACATTGGGTACCTCATTAATTGTCACTCCTGGGGTGGCATTGGCCCTTTGGCCACTTTTGGCCTCCTTCCTAGGTGCCATGCACTGAAAATTAGAACAAGTATGAGTTAAAAGGAGACAGTCTTATAATCAAGCTCCATCGCACGATGTGACATTCCTAAATACCCAAGTAGCCTCATAATTATAGATGTGGTAGACTTCACACCAATAATAAGGACTCTACTAGACAAGACTCTAAAACATCCTAGGACACTTTAAAACCTTAGGCTATGATACCAAGCTTGTCATGCCCCGACCTCGGGGAGCAGGACCGACACTCAATTGAGGTATCCTGGTCAAGAAAGCCTTCTTGATGCCCACCAACTACCCTTATCCAAAAACAATTTATGAAGAAATAATATGTAGAGGTTAGCCAAGAATATTTATAGGGAAAACATCCAATGTTAATCTTCTATTACTTAATCAATTTCATTAATAGCTAGCAAAACATTGCAAGTTATTTTAAAAGCCTTTAAGCGAAAGCAAAATGGGATACAACATATCAAATCCCCATATGATACATGACCCACACTGTGTCTTTGGAGCCTCTAAATAGATGTGAGAAAAATATGGAAATTTCGATAACAAGGCCCCGGCTATACATCAAAACAATGTGTAAGGATTAATATAATACAAGAGTCCTGATATAGAATCGGGCTCACCAAAGATCAGCTGAAGTAAGGTCTGCTTCTATCAAGGGCCTATGTTATGTGCTGGAGTATCACCTGTATCTATTAAAAATACAGCATCCCTGGCAAAATGAACGTTAGTATATGTGGAATAGTACTAGTATGTAAAGCAGACAGAATAATGTATAAAAAATTAGAAATACGGTAGGTCAAAGAGAGATAAATAAAGTACATCAAGAAGATATGAAATAACCTATAGGATCATATGTTAAGTCATATTGTACTCGAGTCATCCTACACTTCTCTTGGAATGAGTGGGCCATATGAGATTTGTATGAGGCACAGAAATATAATGTAAACATAACATTATGTTCCGGCATAAGACAATGAAAATGGCACCTATGCATTTCATTAGACCTTCCATAAGGATCACTTATTTCCTGTGTTGACTATGCATTCCACCAGTCCGTCCATAGCTAACCTTTACTATGCACCTATGCATGCCACTAGACCGTCCATATGGCTCATCTATACTATACACATATGCGCTTCACCAGTCTGTCCATAGGGCTCACCTATTACATGTGATGACTATGTGTTCTACTAGTCCGTCCACAACCAACCTTTACTATGCACCTATGAGTGTCACCAGAGCATCCATGTGGCTCACATATTGCATGTAATAACTATGCGTTCCACCCGTCTATCCATAACCAATCTTTACTATGCAGCTATGCGTATCACCAAACTGTCCATAAGACTTATTAACACAAAATTATGCACATAACCATATACAAGCTGAAAGCAACACGAATAACATTACATTTAGGGTCGTAATTTCCCAGATCATTGGAATGCTTCAAGTCCTTTTTCATCATGCGGAAGCATAACTTATTACATTAGCACATGTGTGGAGAACCAATGAGGAGATTACAAATGGCGCATGGGCCCAATTCATTATCATTAAGGTTCATCATCGTTTAGCATAGGACATCTCACTTTCATCTTGTTATGCACTCGTTTGTCATCTTAAGGTCATTAGATAAGTTTGTCATTCATGGGGACTTAACAACAAAGTCGTTTATATTTATTATTTTAAAAGTAGACATATTATGATTTGAACCATTGGAATGCGTTAGTTTCAACTTCTTGCTCATTTGTAAACTTGAACCTCTATAACATTGTCGTGGGTCATCATAAAACATTTAATGACATTTGGAACATTGATAAAGTCATAGTTTAAACTCATAAATATTAAGAGTTCAAAACACGTTGGAAAAATGTTGCATAGATGAGCGAGCTTGAGGCTCGGTTACAACAAACCAAGCAAGATTAAATGGCTCATAGCCAAGAGGCTGCCCAATTGCATGAATATCTCAGAGAGCCTAAGGCTAAATGGGTCGAGCTTCAGGATGTTGTAACCGCTATTACCGAGCGCGAGTCCGACTTAGAGGAAAAAGTCAATAACTTGAAGGCCAAATTATGCTCCAAACCCGAGGAGGATAATGTTGCTGAGGAGAGAAGGGCCAAAATAGAAAAGAGGGTCACGGAGAAAAACTGACTTCACTCAACTACAAATGTTGAGCTTGATTCTTGACTCCGCACAATGAAGGCTGGAAGAGGAGCTCCCGGCCGAATTTGACAAGCTCCGAGCAAAACTCCAGGATCAAGAAGATTCCCTCGTCTGCGAGAAAACCTATGCTATGTACCATATGAATAAGAATACTTTGGAGGAGGCCAAAGTAGGCATTGCCAATATTGATAATCATTGCCAAAGCTCGAGAACTAGAGTTAACTGCTCATGAGAACTTTCTTGTTCGACCCACTACAACTGACTCCTCGAATACTAGTTCCGAGTATTCGGAAATCGAATAGGAGACCGAAGAGGATGAAGGCCCTGAACTGGAAAGGGAACAACCTCCTTCCACCAGGGAGAATGAAGACCCTTCTTTCCTTTCGGGTTCTGGAAGTAAAGACTAATGTATATAATTTTTCCTTTTATCTTTGTAATTATGACAAAACTTTTTACTGAGTTGGGAAATTTAATAAATAAAAGGATTTTGGCTTAAGTTCTGTGCAAAATTATCCTTTTAGGTTTAGTTGATAAAGCTTCAGGTATATCTTTTTATCCGATAGGTTTTTATTTCGGGCATAAACACTTCCAGAATCTACCCTTATGTTTACGATGCTCTTGAAGAGGACATCTCATGTTCATTACGACACATGCATTTGAAGTTTTTGCTAACTCTTAAATGATAAAATAAAGCAACTTATCATTTGGACAAGATATAAGACAAGGATAAAAGGACTTTGATTTATTGCCTTCAATCTTTAAGAGTACATTCACATAAACATTCATTTGCTTAAGTAAATAAATCTTCCAATGCATATGGCGAACCTGTACAAATTATTTCTATGGGGCTGATCATGCAGTCCCTGATCCCGATAAGACATTGATCCCGATTCTTTCCCAGGTTTTCGTGGAACTCTTGGTGCCATATCATGCATTAATTCCCCATTCCCCCGGTTTTATAATGTTATGTATGAGAATTCGAACATTGGAAGTCTTGTATTCATAGTGTTGCTTCATCGGTGGATGCAACTTGTGAACGGTCAAATAATCTTTTTGAGTAGTGGGAGGCGAGATTTGTCATCGAACCAAAGATTATTTAACCATATACAAGTTGTTTACCAGACGAGCTCATAATTGTGAGAACTTCAATGCCTTGATATTAAAGTTCTTGCCTTTAGTGATGATGTTTTCTTCATTGTGTGCTTTACGTTGCTGCCTCGTTAAAAACATTTCTAGAAAAACCTGATTGGGACAAGAACTAGTTGAAGGAAAAAAGAGTGCAACACATACTTTTAGTACCAGCAAGGATCCTAAACAATAATACCTTTTGAGGTGAGCCACATTCCAATTGCTCGGCAATTTGACCCCGTTTTGATTTTCTAATTCGTATAAGCCTTTGCCAGTTATAGCCGAAACCTAGTAAGGTCCTTCCCTTGTTGGTCCCAGCTCCCGGCGTTGACTTCTTGAGTGTTTTGAGTAACTTTCCTTAGAACCAGATCTACAACTTTGAAATATTGGAGTTTTACCCTGCAATTGTAATACCTTTCCATTTTTTGCTCATATGCTACCATCCTTATGTATGCCAGGTCTGGTGTTCTTTGAGTAGGTCTAGCTTTACCAACAACGCCTTATTGTTTTCTTCTTCACTTGCTTGGGAAAACCTCAAAATCGGCTCCCCCACTTCTACCGGTATTAGAGCCTCCAAACCGTATACTAGCGCAAAAGGTATTTCGCCTGTGCTCGACTTCGCAGTGGTATGCCCATAAAACACTTAGTAGCTCATCGGGCCACTTGTCCTTAGCATCTTCTAACTTCTTTTTAAGATTTTGAATAATTACATTGTTGGTTGATTTCGCCTGCCCGTTAGTGCTGGGGTGGTACGACGAAGAATTGATTTGTTTGATCTTTAACTCTTTCAAGAACTTTGTAACCTTTGACCCTATGAATTGCGGCCCGTTGTCACAAACAATCTCCTTCGGTATTCCAAATCAACATATTTTGTGGTCCCATATGAAGTCAACCACTTCGCGCTTTCCGATCTTTTAGTAAGGACCTACTTCAACCCATTTAGTGAAATAATATGTTAAAACTAAAAGGTATCTTACCTTTTCGGGGTCCTGTGGTAACAGACCAACTATGTCCATCCCCTATTTCATGAATGGCCACAGGGATACCACCGAATGTGAAAGTTTTGCCGGTTGATGTACTAACTATGCATGACGTTGACATTTGTCGCACTTTTGTACAAATGTTCTTGCGTCTTGTTCCCTTCGGGCAAATAATAGCCAGCCTTGACCAACCTAAGAACTAATAAGTCTGCACCGGAATGGTTTTCACAGACTCCTTTGTGGAATTCTCTCATAATGTAGTCTGCTTCCGAGGTCCCCAAACACCGAGCCAGTAATCCTTGGAATGATCTCCTATATAACTGCACGTCAACGAGGCAGTAGCAAACTTCTTAGTTCCCTAGTGCCCGGGACGCCTTTGGTTCTTCGGGTATTTAGCATGTTTGAGATATTCAATGAACTCGTTCCTCCAGTCCCAACTTAAGTTGGTTGAATTTACTTTGTAGTAGCCATCCACATCCAACACCCAGTGCAACAATTGGATGACCATACCGGAATTAAATCATTTCATCTCCGTGGATGATCCCAAATTAGCTAATGCATATGCTTCCATATTTTCTTCCCTTGAAATGTGGACTATTGACCATTCTTTAAATCGTGCAAGTAATGCTTGAACCTTGTTTCACTATTGTTGCATGCATTCTTCCTTTGTGTCGAAAATCCCACACACTTGGTTGACCACCAGTTGGGAATCACACTTTATCTCGATGACCTCAAAACCCAGTCCCCGTGCTAGTTCAAGTTCTACAACCAAAGCCTCATACTCAGCTTCATTGCTAGTTAATGGTACAATCCTAATAGCCTATGTCAGGGTCTCCCCCAAGAGCGTGATTAAACCTACCCCGAGACCGGAACCTTTTACATTGGAGGCTTCCTCCGTAAACAAGGTCCAAACTCCTGATCTTGTCCCCGAGACCAGCACTACTTTCTTAGCAACCAAAGACATTAATCATAAACTAAAATCGGCCATGAAATCGGCCATAACTTGTGACTTAACTGCAGTTATATTCTATGTCAAATTTTTTAACATCAACTTCCCACTTAGCCAAATGGCCATACAACTCAAATTTTTGAAGGACATTCCTTAAAGGAAAGGCTGTCATAAAGGCTATTAGGTGACACTGAAAATAAGGCCTAAGCTTTCGAGACGCAACTACGAGATCTAAGGCCGTCTTTTTGAGGTGCGGATAACGAGTCTTCACTCCTGATAATATTTTACTAATGTAATAAATAGGATATTGCATACCTTCTTCTTCTTGAACCAAAATGGCACTTATTGCTACTTTCGAGATTGCTAGATAAATTAGTATATGTTTGCCTTCCCCCGATTTTGACAATAATAGAGAGTTGGACAATTACTTTTTTTAGGTCCTTTAGTGCTTGTTTGCATTTCGGGGTCTATGCGAAGTCGATCTTCTTTTTCATAAGTGAAAAGAAGTGGTGGCACGTTTCCAAAAGCCTCGAGATGAATCTACTGAGAGCTCTCGACCTGACGATCGGCCTCAACACTTCCTTCACTTTTGTCAACTGGTCTGGGATGTCCTTGATAGCTTTAATTTTATCGGGATTTACCTCAATCACTCTCTACGAGACCATGAAATCCAACAAATTTTCAAAGCCAACCCCGAAGCCACACTTCTTCAGGTTGAGTTTCATGTTGTACTTCCTTAGAATGTTGAAAGTTTCTTGGAGATGTTTCAGATGATCTCTTGCATTTAAATACTTAACTAACATGTCATCAATATATACTTTCATCATTTTGCCTATCTGATTCTCAAACATTTTAATAACGAGCCTCTGATAAGTGGCTCTAATATTTTTAAGCCAAAAAGGCATCACATTATAGCAATATGTGCTAATGTTTGTTATGAATGAAGTCTTTTCTTGATCCTTCGGGTTCACCTTGATTTGATTATACCCGGAGGAAGCATCAAGGAAACTCATTAGTTCATTCCCGGTCGTAGCATCAATTATTTGATCAATGTTCGTCAAGGGGAATGAGTCTTTGGGGCACACCTTATTTGAATCCTTATAGTCTACACACATCCTAAATTTGTTATTCTTTTTAGGTACTACAACTATGTTGGCTAACCATTTCGGATACCTTACTTCTCGGATTGAACCGATAATGAGTAGTCGAGTTGCTTCTTCTTTAACAAACATGTTCCTGACCTCTACTATCGGGCGCTTCTTTTGCCTTACCGGAGGGAAGATTGGGTCAAAACTTAGTTTTTGGCCTGCTACCTCCAATGGGATACCTGTCATATCTGAGTGCAACCAAGAAAAGCAGTCAACGTTAGTTTTAAGAAAATTTATAAACTCTAACATGAGCTCGGAATTTAACCCTGTTGCCAATTGTAACTTTCTTTCCAAAAACTCCTCGGACAGAGCCACTTTCTCGATCTCTTCTGTGGTCGATGGGTTGCATCCATCTCCTCCAGTACCTGAAAATACCTCAGAACTTAGTAGGATTCTAATGACTCTTCACCTTTATCATCTACATTCGAAAGGGAGAGGGAATCAGTTCCTATAATTTTTATTTGTTAGATTCTCTGTCCTTGCTGTTGGAAATGGTTATTGCATTCATATCCCTTGTCACTGGTTGGTCTCCTCTTATTTGTTTATTCCCTCTAGTGTCAGAAACTTCAATAATTGATGATACGTTGAGGGCACAACTTTCATCTTATGTATCCATGGCCCTCCAAGGATTACATTATAACTCATGTTTCCATCTACCACTTCAAACATGGTGGTTTTTGTTACACCTTCGACATGAGTGGGTATCAGAATCTCTCCTCGGGTTGTCATGCTTTTCAGATTGAAGCTAGCTAGGAGCTTTGTCACTGGAATGATGTTCCCGATTAACTTCACTTGCTCCAATACTCTCCAATGTATGATGTTGGATGAACTTCCTGGATCAACCAAAACACGCATAATTTTAAGATCTAAAACATTGGGAGAGATTACCAAATAATCATTGTATGGCAAAAGAAGTCTGTTAATGTCCTCCTCCGTGAAGGTGATGTCATCTTCCAAGACTTTCTAGAGTCTCTTGCCTTGAATAATTGATATCTTCATTTTATTTGCTGCCAAAAATGTTACCTCATTGATTTCACTTTTGTCAAAGATCACGTTGATCTTCATTCGGGGTGATCCTGCTGTCGATTTGATAGCTCTGGTTCGTCCCGACTCCGACCATAGTTTATTTTGAAGCGGTCGCATAAAAAATCTCTAAGAGGGTCACTCTTTAACAATGTCGCCACCTCCTCGTGAAGATGTTGGCAGTCCCCTGTTCTATGGCCGTGAGTCCTATAAAATTTGCACCATAAACTAGGATATCTCTAGTCAAGACTCGATTAGATTGGGTTCGGAAATCATGCTTCTTTGATATTCCTCATTATCGACACTAATTCTACTAGGTTGATTTTAAAATTGTAGTCTGATAGCTTGGGATATACGGGATCTCGGGCCCCTGGCATCTCTTTTTCTTACAATGACCTATTTTTTCGACCACGGTCCATCCTTATGTCATAAGCAAACCTATCCGATGACTGAAAACCTTTACTGCTACGCCCATCGGTCCTCTCATATGGTAGAAAATGACCCTAGAGGACCTCTGATCTGCATCAAAATCATTTTTAAACTTATCCTAATTTTTATCGCGACCCCGTCCCTTGGTTGATACCAATGAGCCAAGTTGATCATATTTTATCCTTATATTTGAATCATAGCAGTTATGGACATCCGCCCACATGGTTGCTTGAAACTCGAGCAATATCTCCTTCAGTTTTCGGGAGGCATCAGAACTCATTGGGGTTAGACCCTTCATGAATGCCTCCACTACCCATTCATCTAGAAATACCGGTAACGTCATCTTTTCTTTTTGGAACCGAATCACGAATTCTCATAGCAGCTCAGACTCGCCCTGTGAAATTCTAAATATATCTACCTTTCAGGCTTGGGCATTTCTCGCTCTAGTCATTGAACCTCCGTCGGAAACCACTCGAACATCCATTGAACCTGCCCTTCAGTCAAATTATCAAAGACTCAACCCATTCTTTGGCATTCTCAGGCTGAGCGAACATGTCGGGGATGTAATTCATTCGCTTTGGATGGTGGAAAGAGATGTGATCATCCCATTCCCTTCGTTGAATTTCTTGTCGGTATTCGCCCTTTTGGAGATGTTCCATGAGCCAAAGCCGAAGTAGTAGATTGCAGCCTTCGAAGTGTCTCGCTCCTCGTTGACACTTCTCTAAGGCTCGGTATATGTCTGGGATGGTCATGGGTACAATGCTGAATGTCTGCCCACTAATCCCCTCCATTAGGGTCTTGGTTACCATAGCCAGCCTAGTATGGATTCTCCCTTTCTTCAGTGGAAACACGATCAGACCCAGGAAGCAAAACATGAAGACTAATACGATGGATATGTCCTAAGGATGTGATGGCAAACTCGTCATGGTAGGTACGGTATGATTTACTGTGACCGTTGATAAGTTAGTATTTTACCAACTTATCTTGTCTTTAAACCTATACTTTTGCTATTTTTGAATGATAAAATCGTGTATTTGATGTCATTTACTTCTATTTTATAGGTTGTATATGATTTAGAAGTAATGGTGAAGAAACCAAGTGAAAACAAGTCAAAAAAGAGCTAAAATGGAAAAATTAACAACTGCCAGTGATTACACTATGCGATCGTAGGGAACTCTATGAGATCACATAAGTCAACAATAGCAAAGCATTGCGAACGTAGGTAAATAAGCGTGAATGCATATAAGGAAGCCTAGTCAGCGGCTGGTCAACTAAGCTATGCGAACGCAGGACACTGTATGCGATCGCATAGCTCGGAGAAATCATTCACCGCGAACGCAATTGTACATATGCGAACGCATAGTGTAATTTATGTGCAGTTCTGGGCAAAAATGGAATTTCACATTTGTAATCCCCAAACCATTTTTATACTCGTCCTAGCAAATCTTGGCTTATTTTCAGTTCCATAGACTAGAGAAGAACAAATCTTGAAGCTAGGGTTTGCACACACACTTGGGTTTTGAAGATTTCAAGCTTGTGGTTAAGGATTTCTTACTCATTTATGTTTATTTCTTCATTTCCTTGCTTAGTATTGAATATTTAAGTGTGTAGTATTTATTTCCAACACTTAAATCTTGTTTATGGAAATTTTCTTAGTTAAAGTGTGGATTAAATACCTTGTTGTGCTTATGTATTGAACGATTTTTATCTTTTTATGACGTGAGTTGTTATTTCTTTAATTGTTCTTGTTATTTAATGTTTCAAAGGGATTAGCGAACACTAGGACTCACCCATTAACTCCGAATTAATTTTGGGGTTGGGAAAGATTAATTAACAAGAACTTGAGGCTTTAACCCTCATTTTATAGATTCTACCTAGGGATAGGATTGAACTACTTGTAGCCATATCCGGCTGTGCTTAGTCTCTTAATTGGGTTAGGAATAATTCATTTAGAAAGTCTTGTTAGTCTTCGGAAGAAGCTAATTAAGAATTATTATCCGTGGCTAATTAACATAAACTCGCTCATATTTGTGAAATCATGAAATACATTAGATCGTTACTTGAGTGTAATTCCCGATGCACTCATACTTGTAGCCATTGATCATTTTACTTGCTTTCTCGGTTAGTTTACATTTCCGCATTTAGGTATAAAACATTTTCTCAAATCAATTCTTAGTGTTTGGCATTGCGTGATAAGTGATAATTCTCTTACATTCCTATTCGCCTACATATTGTTCTATGTGGGATTCAACCCCGACTCATAGTTGGGTAAATTATATTGCATGCGACCGTGTCCATTTACTTTTTAGTAGTGGATTTGGACGTCATCAAAATTGGCGCCATTGCAGGGAGCAATTTGGCATAATTTAGATTGTTTGAGAAATAAGTGTATGTGCTTTGGTCCAAACTTATGAATATTTGTGTAATTATTTTTCTTACCTTGGTCTATTTTTCTTATTTGTTTCATATTTATTTTCTTATTTTTAAAAATGGCATCATATAATGAAAATTGGTCGGATGATAGTTGTTCATACTTTAATGACCCTTGTCCTTATTATGGAGGACCACACTCGTGGCAAAATTGTTTAAATTCTCCCGGGGGTGGATTGTGCGCACAATCTCAAACCTATGAGTGGAGTATTTGTGATAAGTGTGGTTTTTAAAATGGTCATTGGGATGATTGTGCTTATTTTTCCTTCCCTTACCCAAGCCCCCGCTATGATAATTCTACTTTTTGTGATGAAAATTATAGGGCTATGGAAGTGGAAGAAGTTGAGCATGGCCGAAATGGAGAGTTCAAGCTCATGTTGGAGTGCCTCCTTGAAGGAGGAATAAAGAACAAAGTGCCTTGGAGGAGATTTTGGAAAATAGTCTCCAAAATAACTTGGCACTTGAAAGGTTGAACTTGCAAATGGAGGAAATGCTTGAAGCTTTAGAGGTCCAAAAATCCTCGGAAGTTAATGATAGCCAAGAATTTTCTTTAGATGTAGAAGCCAGAAATCCTCCCTTGGCACTTGATCAAAACCAAGAAGAATTCTCAAATGATCAAAATGAGAAGATAATGCTTATGTTGGAGACCATTCTTGAAAATGAGGAGAAGCACAACTCGAGGACTTGAAACAAGGCTTGGCTCACAATGATGAACATATCCACACTTTGGAAGAGCAATTGAAGATATTGGTTGAGGCTCACTATGCCCACCAACTTGAGAGTGTGGAAGGAAGTCAAGAAGAGTCTAATTCCGAGGAAGAAAGTGAGCTTTAATTTGAGGATTCAAGAATTGAACATCCGCCAACCGACTCCATGATGTTAGTGATGCCAAGAAAAATATGGAATTAGAGTCATCCGGTGTAAATGAAAAATTGGTTGAAATTGACTCTAGTTCGGGGGAAAAAGAGGATGTCAAAATCCGAGAAAAATTGCAAGTTGGAGGTTTGAAGTCACACTCCAAGCATTTTTCAACATTGGAAGTGTGTGGTGATATGGAATTTGAACTACATGGATCAATGAAGAAATGCGAGGAGGAAAACCTCATACCATACATCCTACAATTTGAGGGAACAAGAAAGCAAAATGACATTCCTCACATGAGAGCCAAGAAGTGCAAAATGAAGAATTTAAGGCTTGGCTGGATCATCGACTTACCACCCCCCATCGCTCGTGGTCACAAGCTTGATTCCAAGCTAGGTGCCCAGTTCATATCATCCAAGTGGCGAGAAAAGTGGTAAAGTTTACTTGCGTCATGCGTTGTTGACTTTAAACACTTTTACAGACATAAAAAGAGTGCAGAAATCCTATAGGCATGACATCTAAATGTTGTACTTCGTTTAAGCCTATGAACATGATATCTAAATGCAATTAGTTATTTAAGCCCTATAAACAGGTTTGCCTAGTGACAGATGCATATGCAGGATTCGGATTTCCAGTTAACTATGAGCATGGTATCTATATGAGAGATGCAGAAATTTAACTATAGGCAGGATATCCATGAGAATGCAGAATTTCAGAAACCTATAGGCAGGATATCTATATGAGTGCAGAATTCCTTATAGGCATAGTATCTACATATGAAAGTGCAGAATTCCTATAGGCAGGATATCTATGTGATATGCAGAAATCAGAAATTCCTATAGGCATAGTATCTACATATGAAAGTGCAGAATTCCTATAGGCAGAAAATCTATGTGGTATGCAGGAATCAGAAACTCCTGTAGGCAGGATATCTATGTGATATGCAAAAATCAGAAATTCCTGTAGGCAGGATATCTATGTGATATGCAAAAATCAGAAATTCCCTATGAGCAGGATATCTACCCCTTTTACATACATAGTTATTCCCCCTTTTTCACTAACCATCCCCAATAGTTTATTACAAAGTTATTACAGTTCAAAAAAAAATAAAG